TCCTATCTTCCGTCGTGCCTCAGCCTGTAGGTCAATAGATGGCCTGAGGTCACTCTGTTCCTCCTCCTCTTCAAATTGGGAGGAGTGCTCACAAGTACTGCAAATTGCCTGAGCCCGTTGACATTTGGATTGTTGTGTTTGTTGGCTCGGAGTAGTAGCCCGTTTCATTCCACGAGCGAGCGGTGATGGCATTAGAAGAGACTTCTTTGGTGCCATTCCTGTAAATGAAACATTATGTGAGTGGGTGAAATAGCATAGGAATCACATTGATACAAAAGTAATGAAGTATGTAGCTTATGCGATGCGTTATGCGATCGTATAATAGCTATGTGGTCCGCAAACCCATCGCAGAGTTGCATAACCCAGAAGGCAAAAATGATTATGTGATCACGAAAGTGACCACATATTTAGTTATGCGAATGCAAAGTGGTCGCATTTCCTCTCACCAAATGAGAAAATAGACTGCCTCTGTTTTCGGCACTTATGCAGACAGCATAAATGGTATGCAATCGCAAACCCGATCACATAATATTTTTGTAGTAGACCACCTAGGGGTTTTTGTGATGACTTTGCGGACCGCAAACCAATTATGCAGCCCGCAAAGTTTGTCTTCTTCATTTAAAATGTGCCTTTTTCACTCAATATGCACACTCCACTCACATGTTCTTTACACCATATACACATCACACTGACATGCTTTCCTAATACTACCTACTTAGATTCCCCCATTGTTGTTATAGGCCAATTAGTCGATTTAAGATAAGAGGGGTACTCAGACTTCTCCCATTTTCTTTTATCAACACTAACATACACAGTCACTCAACCCAAATCCTCACCACGAGGTTAACCGTAATCAAAAGGAATTAGGGGACCAGGGAATCGACCATAGAGCTCAGAATTTCAGAAGAAGCATGGATCACAATTACGAGAGGGAGAAGAAACTCATACCATAAGTTGATCAAGATAAGAGGGGTACTCAGACTTCCCCATTTCATTTCATCAACACTAACACACACAGTCACTCAACCCAAATCCTCACCACGAGGTTAACCGTAATCAGAGGGAATTAGGGGACCGGGGAAATGACCATGGAGCTCAGAATTTTTGAAGAAGCATGGATCACAATTACGAGAGGAAGAAGAAACTCATACCAGAAGTTGATCAAGATTATGCAAGCCCGATATGCTTCGTGTGAGTGGGATTCCTTGCTTGGTGAGTAATTTTCTTTTTGGTTTTTTCTCTTTTCTTTCCTTGGTTGTAAAAAAGAATTTTGTTCTTTTGATTTTGTTTAAGTGTTAGTGTGTGATAAGAGTGAGGATGAATATGCTGAAGGTTAGGGTTTTTGTACATGTCGAGTTTGCGGCGTATAAGGCCATTGCATAACACATTATGCGATCGCAAATGTGTTGTGCGATGGACTATTGACTGGGCAACCTAAACTAACTTTGCGATACATTATGTGACCGCAAAGTTGTTATGTGGGCCACATAAGTGAAAAGCTTACCGCATTTTTAATACCAAGTTGACCAATTTTTCTGTATGTGTCTGCGATGACTATGCAGTTCATATAGTCATTATGCGACCGCATAGATGTCGCCAACTCTGGACCTTTCTTTCCTTCAGTTTCCTCAGCACTAGGACCCTGTTCATGATATTTTGGGACCACCTACACTCTATCACACATGTCAACCTGCTCAATCTAAACTACATAAATGAAAAACTACAAAAGAGTCTTACCATACATGGGTTGCCTCCCAAGAGGCACTTGATTTAATGTCGCGGCACGACACAGTTCACCCCATTTGGGATATTCATTGGTGGGGACTGCTATTTGACTTTCCTTTAGAGCGAATTGTTCTATCAAGTGCCTTTATCCTGTGGTACCGAGGTAATGCTTGACTCATTGACCACTTACTTTGAAAGTTTGAGATCTATCCCCTGACTCCTTCAATAGCACCATAGAGGGACATACTCACAACTTTGAATGGGCAGACCATTTGGACTTGAGTTTTTTCGGAAATAACTTAAGTCTTGAATTGAAGAGTAAGATCAAGTCACCGGAATTGAACTCTCGCTTCAAGATCTTCTTATCATGGACAAACTTCATTATCTCCTTGTACATGGCTACGTTCTCATATGCATGGAGATGGAATTCCTCCATCTCATTGAGTTGTGTAATTCTCATATTAGCACCCTCCGCCCAGTCAACATTCAACTTCTTCAATGCCCACATGGTTTTGTGTTCAAGTTCCACTAGCAAGTGACACGCTTTGCCAAAAACCAACCAGTACGGTGAAGTTCCAATGGGAGTCTTAAATGATGTGTGATATTCCCACAATGCATCATCTAGCTTCCTTGACCAGCCGGTTATGTTTGCATTGATAGTTTTTGCTAGGATGTTTTTGATTTCCCTATTAGAATCTTCAACATGACCACTCAACTGAGGATGATAGGGTGTGGCCACCTTGTATTTTACGCCATACTTTTCAAGCAGCCCAGCGAAAGCTTTGTTACAGAAATGAGAACCACCATCACTCAGGATGGCCCTTGGGGTACCAAATCGTGTGAATATGTTCTTCTTCAAGAATGCGGTCACATTCCTCGCTTCATTGTTATCCAATGCGATTGCCTCGATCCATTTGGAGATGTAGTCCACAACCACCAAGATGTAGGTTATGCCATAAGAGCTCATGAAAGGTCCCATAAAGTCTATCCCCCATACATCAAAGATCTCGACCTCCAGTACAAAATTCATAGGAATCTCATGTCCTTTAGATATTGACCCTTGTCTTTGACATTGATCGCATGCCTTGACTATTTGATTTGCGACTTCATAGATCGTTGGCCAATAGTAGCCACATTCAAGCACCTTTGCAGCTGTCCAGTTTCCTCCATGATGACCCCCAACCGGAAAATCATGGAATGCTTTGAGAATTGGCATTACCTCATCTTCTGAAACACACTGCCGAATGATGTTGTCTACACAAATTTGAAACAAAATGGGTTCCTCCCAGTAATATTTCCTACATTCCCACAAGAACTTTTTCTTTTGATAAGTCTCAATCCAAGATCGGGAATAAGATGACTAACCAAGAAGTTAGCGATATCGGCATACCAAGGAGTAAATGTGCTAGACAATGCCAATATGTGCTCATTTGGAAAGGCATCATTGATCTCAAGGTCTTCTTTTGGTCTCCCTACCTCTTTAAGCCTAGATAGGTGATCTGCAACTTGATTTTATGTCCCTTTCCAATCCTTTACTTCTAGGTCAAACTCTTGCAATAAAAGGACCCACCGAATCAATCTTGGTTTGGCATACTTCTTCGCCATAAGATAGCGAAGAGCAGTATGATTGGTGTAAACTATCACTTTGGACCCCAACAAATAAGCCCGAAATTTTTCAAAAGCATAGACAATGACGAGAAGTTCTTGCTCAGTCACAATGTCATTCATTTGAGAGCCATTGAGTGTCTTTCTTGCACAGTAGACAGGGTGAAGGATCTTGTTATGACGTTGGCCAAGCATCGCCCCAATAGCTACACCACTAGCATCACACGTGAGTTCGAATAGACGATACTAATCGGGTGTCACAATAATAGGTGTCGTGGTGAGCTTTTCTTTCAATTCCTCAAAAGCTTTTAGACACTTCTTATCAAATAAAACCTCTGCATCTTTTTCAAGGAGCTTGCACATGGGATTCGCAATTTTTGCAAAGTCCTTGATAAAACACCTATAGAAGTCGGCGTGTACCAAAAAGCTTCGGACACCTTTTACTGAAGTGGGTGAAGAAAGATTGTAAATGATTTCGATCTTTTCCCGGTCAACCTCTATGCCTTGGTTGGAAATTGTGTGGCCCAAAACAATGCCCCCATCCACCATGAAGTGGCTTTTCTCCCAGTTTAGCATAAGGTTTGTTTCTTCACATCTTTTGAGCACTTGTCTAAGGTTGTCAAGACAATGCTCAAAGGAATCACCCACTATATAGAAGTCATACATAAACACCTCTAAGAAGTCCACCACCATGTCCGAGAAGAATGACATCATGCACCGTTGCAAACTAGCTGGAGCGTTGCATAGCCTATATGTCATACAGCTAAAATCAAAAGTCCCATATTGGCATGTGAATGTCGTCTTCTCTTGATCTTCCAAGGTGATGTTGATTTGCTCGTAGCAGGAATATCCATCCAAGAAGTAATAGAATGACCTTCCCGCTAGCCGATCAAGCATTTGATCAATAAAAGGCATAGGGAAATGGTCTTTGCAAACTGTTTAGCTTCCGGTAATCCATGTAAACTCTCCATCCAGTCACTCTTCTCGTTGGAATGAGCTCATTTTTGTCATTTTGAATCACGGACATGCCTCCTTTATTTGGCACACATTGCACCGGACTCACCCAAGAACTATCAGCAATGGGGTAGACCACCCCGACATCTAACCATTTGATGATTTCATTCTTTACCACCTTTTGCATGGAAGGATTTAACCTTCGTTGATGCTCCACACTTGGTTTGCTCTCTTGCTCCAATTGTATCCTATGTTCACAAATTTTGGTGGGAATCCCTCGGATATCCGCTATTGTCCACCCAATATCTTGCTTATTATCCCTCAAAACATTGAATAATTGTTCTACCTGCACATCATTTAACAAAGAAGAAACGATTACCGGTAGAGTGTCATTAGATCCAAAACATTTATACCTCAAGTGCAGTGGAAGTGGCTTGAGTTCAAGTTGCGGCGGCTCAATAATTCAAGGCTTGGCGGGAGGAGTTACTCTATTCTCTAAGTCAAGAGAAAGTTCCTTTGGACCATAAGTTAGGACCTAAGTCCTTCTAATGCATTCACTGATTCCATGTACCCCTCCATGTCTTCACCATCAAAATTTACCAAAATAGCCGCCAATGCCTCACCAAGGCATTGTTCTTCCATCTTCATCTTAATTGCGTCTTCTACCTCATCAACAACATCAATGACTGAGATGCTTTCATATGCATGTGGCAACTTCATACCCTTGCTCGCTTGGAATGTAACCTCTTCGTCATTAACTCGGAACTTGATCTCATTTCGTTCTGAATCCATAAGTGCTCTTCTGGTAGCAAGAAATGGTCTCCCCAAGATGATAGGATCTCTTTGTCAACAGCACAATCAAGGATCACAAAGTTGGCGAGGAGGAGGAACTTTCCCACTTTCACAAAAACATCATCAACAATTTCCACCGGTCTCTTTATTGAACGATCGGCCATTTGCAACCTCATACTTGTAGGCCTTGGCATGCCCAACCGCGCTTGCTTGTAGATAGCAAGAGGTATTAAATTGATTCTAGCCCCATTATCACAAAGAGATCTTGCAAAATCGCGCGCCCCAATAGTGCATGGAATGGTAAAAGCTCCTAGGTCTTCTTTATTTTGAACGGTGGTTGTTGCAATGATGGAACAAACCTGATGAGTCACATTTACCACTTCATTCTTGGTGGTTTTCTTCTTGGTAATCAAGTCTTTCAAATACTTAGCAAAACCCGGCATCTCTTGAAATGCTTCCACAAATGGAATATTTACCGATAATTGCTTGAGAATTTCATAGAACTTCTCGAGTTTGGTATCATCAACCTTCCTAGCAAGTCTTTGAGGGAAAGGAGGAGGAGGTCTAGGAATTTGTGCTAGAGTTTTTGGCATCTCTTTCACATTTTCCTTAACCTCTTCCCGGTTCACTTCTTGAATTTTCAACTCTTCCGGGACCTTTTTAGCTCCAACAACAATTGGCACTTCAACTTGTGCCTCAAATTCTTGTGCAGAATCTTGCACTTCGGCCAGTTGTTCATTCTCTCCTTGAAGTACTTTCCCACTACGAGTTGTAATTTCCATGCAATTAGAAGTTGGACTACTCCCACTACCTTTTGGGTTTGCAATTGTGTCACTTCGGAGTGTGCCCTTCTACTTCGGATTTTTCTCTCTTGAGAGATCTCTTATTTGCATCTCCAACTTTTGAATAGATGTTGTATTCGAACCCACAAGCTCGGTCATATTTCTCATTGAAGTGTCGGATCTTTCTTGATTTTGCAACACTCGTTCATGTTTTCCAGCTTGGAATCACTTGAAGAACCTTCCTTCCAATGCGGAGAGTTGGAATATTGCCCTTTCAATGGAACATAAGGGTTTGAGCTCCGATTTGAAAAGTTGTTGTTGTTACTCCAATTCCCTTGATTTGAACTACCTTGGTCATTTCACCACTGTTGGTTGCCCTGCCATTGCGGTTTAGGCCTCCATTGGTTTTGTTTTCTTGAACCTTGGTACTGTTGCCTTTGATAACCTCATTGAGAGTTGCTGACATAATTTGCTTCCTCATAATCTCCATTTGATGTGGGTTGAACATCTTCCACCACATTCACCTTTTTTGTTTGGCTTTCAGTGAACATCTTTGTCAACACATTGACGTTGGTGGAAAGCCCGGCAATTACTTGATCTCTTTCTTGGTTCGTCTTAATCATGTTGGTCAAGGAAGGAGTACCATATGCAATTCCACCTGTGGTGTCCTCTGAGTGCCAAGATTGGTTATATTTTGGCATTTTGTCAAGGATTTGTGTGATCCTCGCAAATGTTTTATCCATAAAAGATCCATCAGCAACATTCTTAGCTATAGATTGACTCATAGCATCCACCCCCATGTAGAATTTCTCCAACAAGATTGAATCCGGAAAACCATGATTCGGCGACCTCACCAAATATAACTTGAATCGATCCCATGCCTCATGTAGATGTTCTCCCGGTAATTGGTTGAAAAAGAAAATTTTATCCTGGAGCTCAGATTTCTTGATTTGCGGGAACTATTTAGCTAGAAATGCTCGGACAAGTTTAGGCCAAGAATGGATGGAATTTGGTGGTAGATTTTGAATCCATTTCCTCGCCTCTCAAGTTAATGAGTACTTGAACACCCTCAATCTTAGGGCATCATCTGAAACATTGTTATGCTTATGCATCGCACACACACCCAAGAAGTTTATCAGATGTTGTGTCGGATCATCATCAGTTGAATTTCTGAAGAACCCCTCGGCTTTGAGCATTAGGATTAAACCGTGTTCCACCATGAAAGTGGCAGCGTCAACTCTTGTAGGTACAATAGCATTTGTTTCCTCAATGCACTCATCTATGTCCGTAAAAGGATTCTCTTCTTCGTCATATTTGGCCATGCTTTCCTATCAACACCAAGCAGAACAAGCAAAGTGTGACGGAATAGAAGAAGACGTAAAGTAAAGCACACACTAATTAGCAATTTCAAAACCGTATTCCTTGGCAACGATGCCTATTTTGATGACGTCCAAATCCACTATTAAAAAGTAAATGGACACGGTCGCATGCAATATAATTTACCCAACTATGAGTCGGTGTCGAATCTCACATAGAACAATATGTAAGCGATTAGGGAATACAAGAGAATTATCATTTGTTATGCAATGCCAAACACTTAGAATTGTTTTTAGAAAATGTTTATACCTAAATGCTAAAAAATGTAAACTAACCTAGAAAGCAAGTAAAATAATCAATGGCTACAAGTATGGATACACGGGGAATTACACTCAAGTAATGATCCAATGTATTTCATGATTTTACAAATATGAGCGAGTCTATGTTAATTAGCCTCGGGTAAGTATTCTATATTAGCTTCTTCCAAAGACTAACAAGACATCCTAATTGAATTATCTCTAAAACAATTAGGAGATTAAACACACCCGATTGTGGCTACAAGTAGTTTAATCCTATCCCTAGGTAGAATCTATAAAATGAGGGTTAATTAATCTTTCCCAACCCCAAATAATCTTTCCCAAAACTAATTCGGAGTTAATGGGCGAGTTCTAGGGTTAGCTAATACCTTTGGAAACATTAAAGAATACGAATAATTAAAGAAACAATAACTCACTTCATAAAAAATAAAAAAACATTCAATACATAAGTACAACAAGATATTTAATCCACATTTTAATTATGAATATTCCCATAAACAAGATTCAAGTGTTGAAATAAATACTACACACTTAGATATTCAATACAAAGAAAGAAAATGAAAAATGAGCGCCAATGAGTATGAAATTCTTAACCAAAAGCTTCAAATCTTCAAAAGCCAAGTGTATGTGCAAAAACCCTAGCTACCAAAGTTGTTCTCTCTAGTCCTGAGGGCTGAAAATAAGCCAAAGCCGTGTAAAAAAATCTGCTAGGTCATGTATTTGTGGGTTTGGAGTTGAAAAAATGTGAAATGTCATTCCTGCCAAGGTCTGAATCCCGTTGACGCACCTGCGGAAGGATCATCACAGGTGCGGCTCCGTAGAAGCAGGTAGCCTATCGCAGATGCGAAAAATGAAGGGAAACTCTAGCGCTGCAGATGCCGTCTTTTAAGCACATATGTGCAATCGCATATGCGGTCCCAGGCAAGGTGGCTCAGCTCCGCAGATGCAGACCATTTCTTGCATATGCGAGGTCGCTTCTGCGACCAGTCTTCCGCTTATGCAGAATCCCTGAAGAGTTTTGCAATTTTTCAACCTTTTTTTGCTAAATTCCACTTCAATTGAATTAAAATCACCTCTTACCTGAAAATATAACTATACACACCATAAACGACCTCATATTATAATTAGAGGACATAAAAACTAAAGAAAAGAGACTAGAATGAGTGGTAAAATCACCACTCATCAACACCCCCAACTTAAAGCTTTTTCTTGTCCTCAAACAAATCAAAACCAACAATTCAATGAGATTCTACCATTTAAAGCACAAGTAGTATTGCTATCATTTACAAATCACATTCTCCAATTAAGCATCATACTTATGGATTTGGTTGATACTAACAATTAGGCTCAACCATGTGAATCGTAACCAAATAACTTCCTCTTTTAAAAATAACTTCAAGAAATGCAAAGGAGTTTGAAAATAATCAAGTGACAACAATAAGCCTCAAGAAGTGACTCAAAAGTACTAGTCTACTATATATGCTCAATTTACTCATGTCCAGATACAATAATGTCACCAATCCATACTAATTCATGTGCCCTCACAAGAAATAAAGTCCCAAAATAACTATATTTACAATAATAACACAAGGGACATATGCACAAAGACGCTCACTGTCAACAAAGAATTTCAAGTGTTATAAAATATCATGCCATAAGTTTGCCCTTATTTTAATTTGCTGCCTATTCAAGAACATTTGATTGGAGATCCCATAAGAACTTTTTAAGCTTGTAATGTAGGTTTAGGGAAAGGGTCGGATAAGCATTTGTGATACAAGTAACTACACCCTCCTTGAACACTACTCACATTTATTTTTATTTTTGCACTTTGCTTCTTTTTAAACCACATAGTCTTTATTGGCGTCTAGTTACCAACATAGAACCACCTTAAAGTACCTCTCTAATTTTCTCAACGCTCCATATTTACATATAAATAATTTATTTTTATTTTTTTTATATAACTATTTTCTCTTGGAGCTTGATTAATTTTATATGAACAACTTTGAGGTATATGTCTCTACACTCAATGTACAACCTTACCAATTTCCAACTTGACACCAACACCCCAACTTAGGCTTTTAGCCTCCTTCTCAATATTCAAGGAGGGACCGGGTTAAAAGAGGGAATTATTTCACAAAAGGGTAAAGGTTTGTAATGAGGTGGCCAAAGAAAAGGTTAAAGGCTCAAATGGGTAAAACTAGTGATAATATTTATGCAATGGTAGGCTTGAAAAGCTAAAGAAGTTTTTTTTTCAAAGATCACAAAGAATGTTTAAGGTCATCTCTCCAACCAAACATAACTAACATTAGCATTAAAAGACCAACCGTGCAAGATCTAAATGATATAAGTAAACATACGAATTATTTATAAGAAAAACTAACACTCCTGAAACATGAACTAATCAAGACGGATCAATTTCACTTCTTAATAAGAGCATTTAGAGCAATATCATACTAACTAGTGGGCAAAGGTCACCAAAAGAGCCAAAAGTTATCACAAAATTTATTCTTCCCCATGCAACTTATTTTTTTGATTTAAAATCAAAATTCGGAGGGGTATTCTTAATTCACATTTCACATACAAGAGACTAATTCTATTAGTACCAAATAATCCAAAAATCTCCACTTAACAAAACAAGACTAATTCCCTTAAGAAAATCGTCACGCCATCCATCATAGGGAAAAGTCACCCGGTTCAACACAAAAATGTTTCTCGGAAAAGAAACGTAGCATAAAGAAAACCCAAGGAAATACTACTAAAGAAATAAAAAAATAATGAAAACTACTAAAGAAAGTAATTAACAAAAACAACTAATACTAAAGGAGCAAAAATAACATAAACTATAAACTACTAAAGAATAAATAAAGGAAGAAAAAATAAAATAGAATAATAAAAGTGACTAATTTGCACATATATAACTACTCACTACTACTCTCGGCAAGAGCAGATGATAAGAAATAATAAAACAAGCTCGGCAAGGGCGCACAATATCCATACAATAAAATAAGCCCGGCAAGGGCACAAGTCAAGTATCAATGTATCAATCAACAAAGTGTACTCCCTAAAGCCACTCCCAACTAACAACATTGTTGTGACCTCACTGCATAATATCAAAATAAAATACAAGTAGTTTTAGGGTCTCCTTGAGGCCTGCATTAGACTAGAAGACTGTGGGAGGAAGGCTAATCACTGCCTTGAAGTACTCTCAACCTCATCATCATCAGTCTCATCATCATCATCACCAGCAGCATTTGACATGAAAGAATACTCTTCGCTATCATCGTCTTCCGCAACTGGTATTTTCCTGTTCGGCTACCCTCATTTGAATATGGCCTTTATGCCTCTCCACATCTTGATCATAAACTT